CTCACGCACAAGCCTCTGAAAAGGCAGTTTCCTGATCAAGAGCTCAGTACTCTTCTGGTACGTACGAATATCACTGCATCACATAAAACATCTCAACTGAACATAAAAGAACAATAAATTAACCTAAAAAAACCTTCCACGAAAGGAATACTCACCGAAGAGCAACAGTACCAGGACGGTAACGGTGGGGTTTCTTCACACCACCTGTTGTAGGGGCAGACTTACGGGCAGCCTACATTTTCCAAACATTTCATAATAATATAAAACGATAGTTTTCACACATAAATTCATGTTCAGAAAACAAGATATTAGGTGTGCAGGAGGCAACCTTGGTAGCGAGTTGCTTTCTGGGAGCCTTTCCACCAGTTGACTTCCGAGCAGTTTGCTTTGTACGAGCCATCTGCAAGATTAACCCCATTTCAAAATTAAATGTGCGAAAATCTAATCCATAAAGCTATAGACATAACTGTAACACTAGAAACGTAAGAGAGATTTAATCCAAGAAATTCATACTTGTCAATTAGATTCAACTCTAACAACCTAATTCTAAAAATAAATCAACTATTTACATAATTTCCAGCCTAAAGAGAATTTAACAAGGCTCCCCCAAAAAACTATCAAAAGAAAATCACAATTTTATCTCTGATTAGATCCCTAAGCTGCTAAACCATAAACAACAAACAAAATACACACCAAAGAAGAAAAATTTTAAAATCATCAAGCCATCCCATAAAGAATGTAAGGAATCAACCAATTCTACCTAATCAAAACCTGAAACCCAACGTATACAACATAAAACCTTAAATTTACAGAATTCGGAATTCACAACACACCAAGGCTGAAAATGAGAAAAAGAAAATCGTTGAAACCGTACATATATAAACTCGGTATCAACAGGAGAAACAAATATAGAATCCAGACACAAACCCCAAGCACATCATATATACAATCAACGTCAACCAAAACCCTAATCCTGCTACACATACTGAAACGCATTATACACATACAATAATTTTAGAAATAAACAATTCGATATCAAAAATTCAATAGAATTGAAAAGCAATTTACCTCTCACTTGAACAGAAATTCTTCTCTCGCTCTCTCTCTAACGAATGGAAAGTTTTATGGACGTAGAGGGCTGTGTATATATATCCGCAAGGTAAAATCGGACGGTGAGAATTTAATATCGTGTGTTCTTAATGGGGGACCTGACAGCCGTTAAAGGGCAAGTTGTGTTTTCTCTATTGAAACGGAGGGTTGAGATGTAAAGTTGGTTGCATCGGATTGAGAAGCCTCTGTCCCCGATTCCTATTGGTCAGACAGAAATTGCTAGGATTCACGTGTGTTTTTTGTTTTCAGAAGCTTTCAAGTAAAGCCGGGTCGGGTTGGATTGGATCGGATCGATTTTAATTCAACCAGCAAGATCTTCGTTTCTCATTTCTCTATTTATTTGTGGTATCAAACTATCAATATTTGATTGTTCATATGTTTATTATTGAGTATTAATGACTCGTGGTGATGTAGGGATTTGAATGGGATGAACTAATCATCGACTAGATTCAACTCGTCCAAGTATCGTATGCGTCAACTCGTAAATTGCACGTGAAATACAAATTTCTCTAAGAAAAATTGGCAAGCCATACTCAGAGTGAACTAATAGGGCGAGACAAGCTCATACTTGGAAGAAACCAAATCTATATACTTGATATATGCCTCGACATTCGAGGTTCGAACCCACACGATGTTACAAGAAAATACAAAAAGGAAAAGTTTCATACAGCTACCTGATTTTATGTTACAAAGGACACAATAAAGATTTGAAACAACTATAAGAACCAGAATGGTTAAAAACAGAATGAGTAAACTGTAAACCAATTAATCTAGCTGCAAAAGGCACTGTGCAACAAAAAACGAGCTTCAACATCGTCTCACTCAAATGAATTTTGCACAAGAATTGAAGAGACGAGAAGGGCTCGAAAAAGCAAATTCAATTATTGCTAAAGTTTCCCCGTATCGCCTCTCGATAACCCTCTGCTATCATAAATCTTTTTGTCACTTGAGTAATGATCTTGAAACCTTTAATTAACATCAAACCAGCATCATAACTCAACAATATCGGGTATTTTTCCACTAGTCATCGTGAAAGTTGAAGCAGTCTGCAACTTTAAGCTGATTTGCAAGTCGTTTGATAGAAGGTTGCACAGCTTTGGAGAAGGATGCCACTGAATCAGGAAGTTCAGGTACACAAACAGGCAAATATTGATCGCCACTTTCTCGTAAGCAAAACAGAGCAAGCACGGCACGGCAGAAAATGAATCTGGAGAGATATCATCATAGAAAATTATCAAGCCATTATGTGTATTCTTGCAATATGAAGCATTTCTAGGACTAAAATAGACAACAAATTACCTATTCATGATTATTTCATTGAAAACTCGTAAAACCACAGCACTAGATTCTTTATAAATTGCATAAAAGTGAATCTATAACACGTGAAGTGCGACCTTCAGGTTTATCGTGCTCCATTTTTCAACTGAAAATACAAGAAGTTGTTGGGGCATTCTTAGAATTTAGACACGAGAATATGATGACGTCAATATGCAGCCAATTAAAGGACCAAATATTATCTGTATCTAAAACCAAGAAGTTATGTTGACATTATCCTTAATTTTTTACTTCAAAGAAAGAGACGCGGGGTTTAAGTTTAACGTAATTTAGTACCTAGAAGCTTGAAAATTCTCATTTGAAAAACTTGAGTTAGACGTGAATTTTCAATTATGGGCTCAATCATGTCTCCGAGAACATTACATGAAGGCGATCGGGGACGCGATATAAGTTACCTAAGAAT